AGTGCGCGGATGTGTACTTCATGCGGACATGGCGCAGGATGAATTTCCGTGGATATTTCCACATAAGACGACTGTCATACAGCCTTATTATGCTGACGAAAGACATGATCACAACTGCCCTGAACGGCAACCGCTCACCAGCAGAATCCATCCCTGGACACCACTTGAAGAATTCTAACTGAAACTTCGAAAAGCGCGCGAGACAGGAGTAAACAGCACGCTATTACACTTTAAAATAGTGACAGCAAGGAAACCTGTTATTAAAGGCAGCGTCCGCGATCAACCAAAGTGAAAAAACCCTCCAATGAAAACGAACGCGGAGTTCGCAACCATAGCGGATATCCCACTCTTGCGGCTCGAAATGTATTGATTGACGAGGGCGGAGTCAACAAGGCTGAGCTGACGCCTCCTTCCCTGTTAATCCCGCCCCGACTGGTTAACAGTTATCAGTGCTTGCTGGCATTGATAAACGCTAAGTTTCTGGAGTTTTCCGAGGCGCGAACTGTGTTTTTGGAGAACTCACCAAAGGTCTGCGAAACTCGTCCACATGCCTTAAATTTCGTAGGGTCTTATTTCACGCTCTTCCACACCTTTTTCCTACTTTTTTTGATTAGTGCTTCATTGGCCACCTGTTCTAACAAATTTGACCCCTGAGACCTGCCAAAGTCCATCGCGGGCGCTGTCTTTAAAGATATATCCACGATAAATATTTCTGCAATGGCGTAAGTGGGAGCGCAAACTATAGCACGTGGAAAAGCTCCCAATCAGTGGGACAATCACGACCTCGAGTTCAGAGCAGAGAGGAGTATGCCGGTCTCTAAAATATACAGTTGAAAAGGTCGCAATAAGTCGGGACGTCGTCAAAAGGGACGGAATGTGCTCACCCGCGGTGTTTTCTACGACGGCTTTTTTTTCCTGAATGAGAAACGCAGCCGAGGTGGACTCATCCATGACCACCAAAGTTGACGCAGGTCTCGAGTCGCTTGAGAGAGAAGCATCCATGTAGGCTTGCAAGTAGGCCTTGTACAGCTTGCCCCAGACTTTTTCGGGACGACCTTCCAGATCCTTCAGATTTCTAGGCCCCATTCGGCAGTTCTGATGGGACAAGCAGCCCAACGGCTTCAGATGCAGAAAGCAGGGATGACGCTTTGAATCGAGTCTGAATCTTCTTGATCTTAGGAACATATCCTCTATTGTATTAAAACCTCGATGGGCCAACTTTAATCGATGCAAGCGAATCCGTGTCAAGAAGGCATTTAATACCTGTATTTTCGGACATCTCACAAACCGAATGCTTTGGTGTGCTGAGAAGCTCGAGTCTTTTGATTCAAGTGACAATAGACTGTGGCCTTCCTAGCTCAACTCAACGAGATGCTTTGTAGCTTAGCCTAGCCGCCGAGTCCAGTAGCTTACCGCCATTTCTCACCAGGGGTAACTTTCCATGAGCATTCAAGTGAATAGTTGACAGCTTAGCTTACGCAGGGATCTTAGTAAGAAACAATCAAGGAATGCAGCTAGGGCATTTCATCGTTCAGATTCTTCAACAGGGGAGTGCATGTAGTAGGGCAGGAGAGAGGGGAAGGGGTCTTCTCGTGAATTTCACCGTTAATTTCCCCAGCGCGATGCTGTGGTCAGATTACATTTGCGGCATGGACACGCCTATTTCACTGCGAATTATCTGTCTACTTTTCTATCGCTGAAATCAATTTCTCTCTAAAGAACGTCGAGAAAAAAAAATTAAGATCCAGGCGACAAGCAGAACAGAAAAAAAACATGAAGTCATCTGCAGCAGAAATGTCAACAAACCTATTTGATGTGGAAGAAACTTCAGCAATCTGCTGCTTCCATGCGGCGCACTCAACAACACTTAACGGCAGTCTTGGTGCTGCAGCTATTTGCAATGCCATAGAGTTGTCGTAGGCCGTTTCCGTTTGGTAGTCACGATTCAAGACTGAGCTTTCCTGGCTTAATAACAAATTCTAGAGAAATACCGTTCACATACGCTATAGCTAGCCTTACCTCACACTCCTTGGTCTGACAAACAATGCATTGGACCATTTAGGATCACCGAGACTAGAATGGGCCACAAAGATGCGGGAAACATCAGGGATGAGTGACGACGAAGATGACATCAGCCACTGGCCAGGCTTCGTACAACATTCTAAATTTGAAAGTCTTATCAAATTTAGTTCTCAGTATTGTTCACGGCGTTTTCTTGATTTGCGATAGCCTGTCAGTTGGACGAAAGGATTTTCCTTGTATGCAGCGATGTCATAGACATTTAGGACTCTCTTTCACTATACATTTTCCATTGTCACCGTTACCCTGATTCGCTGCGGATGAAGGGGCGTGTCCAGTAGTTCGACTGTACCACGTCCGTTCTCAGCCAGTTGTTGAAGCGGGTATGAGACAACGATTGGTAGAAAACAATCGAAACGAACGATATGATATAACTGGTGGAGAACCGGTTTAGCACCGCGCCGAACTTATCCCGCCTGGCACAACCTTGCGTCCGCAACGAACTACACTGTAGAACCATTGTCATTAGCATGCGCGACGTCGCACGCGGCCCACCAGCGAATTGCGTTTGCTTATCACATGCCCCCGTCAATGCCAAGGGTATCAAGTAAGAACCCACAATCGCTTCACCGTCCATCACAATCGCTGCTTTCACGATGAAAATGATCGATGGAAACCACCAAGTTCTCGCGCTTTTTTTCTAAATGTCTAGTGGATTACAACGTGACTGGCAGCCACATGCGACATCTGCTCCGATTTAGGCCCTGGAACTATCTCCGTAGTATGTTACCCGAAGAGAATGTTGTTCGCGCTTACGGACTTCTACGGGGAAGAAACGCTTCTTCCGGGCAGCTTATCTACGTGGGTCTTGGACCTGCTGCGCTCTTTGACTGGAACCATTCTTACGAATCATCTCGCATTCTAGCCAATACGCGGCCGATTCGAAACGGCAAATGATAAATCCTTCAGAGAGGGAAATTTTTCATGAGTTGACGTCTCTCAAGAGTGCCTGACTTATACTTCCGTATGAGAAACCCGAAGGACCTAATGGCCCAACCGAAACATGGTACCGAAAAGCTTCTGAAGGTGAGACAGCCGCCCTTTGCGTGGTTGTTGGAAAACAGTGGCACATATATTTTCCAGCGGTGAGGACAGCCGCCCTTCGCGGTGCGTTTGTGAAAAACAGTGTCACATTTTTTTCTTAGTTTTTTAGATTTACTGAAACAGTGCTCTTGTAGGTCAGAATGAACTGTATCATGACACCGAAAAACTAATAAGGCGAAATTTTTCTACATAGTGAACTATATTTATTTCTTGTTATATTTCTTTTTGTTATAACATAATGATACAACGGAGCGTTGGAAAATCCGATTCCTTGTATATAAGAGATGGTCTCCATGGTGTCTATGAAGCGGAAATTATTGCACATGAAATACGACCAACATCAAGCCTGTCTTTGTATCCGATTCCACCAAACAAGATAGAATGGGGGGTGCCGTAAGGAGACATGCATGCTGAAGTCTGGCCTGCATGCAGCTCTCTTACTTACAGGCGGAAAGGTCTGTTATACGATGCCAAGAGCTTCGAACAAGACCTAGCAGTTGGTGAGGATTTGCAGGACAGTACGCGGTATATAATCGCTCCGCGGTGTGGCAGCATCTCCAACGCCGGAAATATAGGTTGCATCCCAAAAAATGGCGGCCGGACAGCCCCCCCCCCCCCCCCCCCCCCCCCCTTCCTTTTACGTCCGCGTCCTTCGTGACGCGCTCTACCAAACGAGTATCTTATCCCATTCTCTGTTAACCTGCTTTCCTCAAATAGTTAACCCTTTCTTTTCATCAATTTTCTTTTCTACATAATTTCTAGACGCTATACAACTACTACTAGATCAGTCCTCCGTAATCCGACCTGTATCACCAATTTTTCTGCGAGGGTAAATTCGCCTGAAAGTTGTATCAAGGGCTTGTTCGAGCCTCATAAGAACATGAATATCACATTCGCTTAGCACAAAACCGACCGCCTGGCACCCGTGCAACGGGCGGCGCGAAAATGCACTAAGTCACCGAATTTGCCGGAAAATTCATTCCCAAGCGACTGAGGTTGTCTGTAGCGATCTTCGTGTTGCTAAATTTATGTCACAGTCGTGATCAGGACACCAAATGACCCCGGTATGTAAGTCAATCAGAATTGGTGAGAAAGATGCTGGCCCTAAATTTGCGCGCCCAACGGGCGCCAAGCGCCAAACGCCGCGATATCCTGTCATTTACGGCCCGTGAGGCAAACTTTCAGCCAAAAAAAAATTTTGGTGGTTTTTGGGCTTAATTGTGGATGGCACCCACTTTTAGCTTACTTGTTTTAGCTTTGCATCGAATCTTAATGGCGTCATTCGTATTGATATTGCCATTAGCATATTATTACCTTATCTGCTCCCATTACCAATCACGGAGTTGTTTTCCATTCCATTTCAGGCACTGGGCCCACAAAAAGGGTTATGGCTTACTAAAGAGGGGGACTAGCAGGATAAAGGTGAGGGTACGCGTAGCCTCCGGGAGCGCGGTTATATAGGGTTCGTCATCGGACAGTGATTTGGGGGTCAAAGGGTCGCAGACGCCGGCTGCGCGGCGCTCACGACTTCGGCCGATCAGCCGAATTATTATTACAATACATATTACCATTATTAGTATTATTTTGTATATATTATTATGTATTATTATATATATTTTATTATTACTTATTTTATTATTTATTATTATCTAACGCCTAATCAACTGCCCAGATTGACGACTGTAATTGTAGCAATGCGACGCGCAACGTCGCAGTCTGAGTACTGCCTTAATCCAGCGAACAAAAAAAGAAGCGGAAAAGTACCGTTTGGATTAAATGTCTGTATAACATCAATCGAATTATCAGCTAGAAGAACAGGCAATGTCTGCGAGAGGTATGAACACGCCAATCAGAGGACAGTCGAATATCCAGCCCCCTCACATAACAGCGACTGTTGTTGCCGACGGAAAAACAGCAAATGCGGCGGAAAGTGCAGATAGTATAAGAGCTGCAAATCCCCAGTTATACAGATTCACGTACGAGATAACTGAGAACAAATATCGCGAGAAAAACTGACAATTATATCCAGTGGATGCATTGACGGGAGAGACTTCACACTGGGTAAAATCGATGAAAGGTCCGCATATTCTCGGATCTCCTGAACTAGTATAGTACCATACCAACGACAGCGTTAACCTAACAAATATTGATGAGCTTATCATACACAACTATGATCATTTGTGTATTCAAACCCTCCTGTTCCATGAGCGATTCCAAACAGATGCGTAGCGAATCGGTTGACAACCCTGTACATGGGTAATTAAGAAAACCCCAGAGATGCGTTCATACTCTGTGGCAGCGTCCACCAGTGACCAATAGTGTCCACCAGGGTGTTCCGAGGTCTCCGTAGGGTCAGCGACTAGGAAAGTATGGTATCGTGATCTAGCGTCTGCCAAGCGCTCACAGCTATTGCGCAGCCAGCGGCGGTAGAGGGAAGGAAGGCGGATAGGAGGTGCAGACGGTTGGTATGATATAGGGAGAGATAGTGTACTTAGCAGGACTGAATGGTCGAGTGTTGCGCGATACAGGAAGCAGCGTAGCCTGTGTATTATCGCGCCATAATATCCTCTCCCGTCCCTGCGGTGAGACGACCCGGTCTAGCCGGCAGATCCTCTAGATCGAACTATCTGTTACTTTGCTAGCCCTCGAGGACGCTGATGAACGCTGTAGGACGCCGATTCCTAGTCGCTGACACCGGCGCCGAATGCTGCTGGGCGGTATTGGTCGGTGGTGGACGCTGCCGCAAAGTATGAACGCAGCCTAAGGTGCAGGATTATATTTCAGACAGCTAACGAAAACCTTACCGGCAGCAATTACAATAGGCATGTTGAATACAGGATCCCCAACTCGAGCACGGTCTAATAGGGCTCTAGGTCGGATGAGATCATCAATGTGACTTTCTGCAACAGTAATATAGTAGTTAATGAGCAGTGCTATGGAAAAAAATTTATTCAAAATGATCTCTCTGCTCTTCTCACTACAAGTTCGAGAACGTACCGCTACAAAATTCTCCGTGTCGATCATGTTTGAGGCAGAAATGACGACGTGGGAGATTTAGGGGACGCCGAGAAGAGCCTGCTTTTCCTACTGAGCGACCGCGCCACGTATCAACTGAAAGGAGTTCATAGGTCACTCGTTAAAAAAGGCTATATACGGTGTGTCCTACAGTAACGGAGAACAAAATTTATGAAACCATTTCACAAAAGGTATCCTGTTTTTCATCTATCGATAAGCTTTGAGGGATAAATCTTCTAGTGGCCGCGTCGTTAAAAGGGTGGAAGTCTTACCATCATTACGATAGCCAGTGCAGCCTACGAATATTCGCAAGCACGGGCGAGATGCAGCAACAAAGGACATAGCTGAATCTTCTACGCTTGATGTACTCAGACCACTGAACAGTAGCAGGTGGCATGACAAGGAGAAAGCGCAGTACTTCCAGATATTTGAAACAGTCCTTTCTGGGATTGATCGTTGCAACGCCCCATCAGAAGCATATCGAAAGTGGGACTTGGGTAGAACGAGATATTTCTAGTATCAATGAGCAGCAGTGTCGAGGAAAACAGGATGTTTTTGGCTCGCTTGACTGAAGGGACTACATCTCCTCTTTTGGGAAAAAACTTTTGGGCTGCGTTCAATGTTTGCGTAAGCGTACGCCTGCGTGCGCGAGCGCACAACAGCGATCGAGCGACTAGGGAAGTACAGGTACTGACTAGCGTTTCAGTGTCCACTAGGAGTGGAGAGTATGGGGAAGTAAGATGGTAGCAAATTGCAGGATTAATCGTCGTGAAATTGCGGCGTGCACAACGCACTGTACAACTGCTAAAGCACAGAATTATAATTTTGTATGGTGTAGAATAGTTGTAGGGAGCAGTCGTACGTCGCAATTTCACGACGCCTATTCGAGCAGTTTCCCACCCCTCTAGTTCACCATTCTTTGCACTACTGGTGGATACTGGCATACGCTAGCGTAGGATAAATCGATATACATTTTTCAAGTCGCTCGAAACGCAGCTGCACGCAGGCGTACGCTAGATCGATACCTACACTTTCCTAGTGGCTGGCGCTGTGCACCGTAAACGACGCAAAGTATGAACGCAGCCGTAGTGCAGCTTTAAACAGCACGGTTATCCAGCAGCACGGTTGTCTTCACTATCAGTGGAACAGTTTCCACGGTCTACACATCACCGCAAAACGCAGTTAGCTGCTTCAGGCTCAAATTATGCTTGGACCTCCTTGAACTCATTAGGGATGATGCAACTTCTTCATGATGGTGGAGACCAATGTTAAGAGTCTGCTCCAACCTACACAGGAACATCTCAGGAACATTATTGCTTGGACCTTCCATGTACCCTGCCACCTTGTGCGAGAAAGCTTCAACTGTGCGCGTAATAAGCAGAGAGTCTTTCTTTTTGCCCTTCCCCAACCACTGACGGATCACTACGAGCTCTAACCAAATTTTCTTTTCATTTTTTTAAACACGTGCAAATATGCTGCTCACGTTTTTTAGGAAGACATATTGATGCCTTGATAGGTTTCGCCCAGTTGTTGCCTGTTGGAATATTGAGATCTTCGAAAGGAGTATACGCTGCCAATCCTTTATGACCAACGAAGTACCTTCAAATCTTAATCTTGGACGCATGCAACGAAAACAGCCGAGTTCTTACCATGACGCTCGAAATTTAAGGCGATGAATCATACTCGATCCCATTTCATAAAATATTCTTTTTGCCA